TAAAAACTTCACAGATACTATTTTTTCATTATGTTTTTCTCTTTTTCAACAAAAATCCCACCCCAATATTCATGCTTCTTTGGTTGCCAACAGAAAATACCACTGGAAACCACAGCCTCCCGTTGTTTTCTCATATTTGTAATTTTGCAAACCRTTCCTCCTTCCCTCACGCAGCCTGTCAGACTCTTCAGCTCTGCAATTCTCCTGAATCTATTCCTGGTGTGTTATCTTCCCTCCCCACCCGGTGTGGCTGTTTAAAGAGCACGTTGAGTTTTGAAAGGCTGGGGGAAGCCATCATGAGTGTGCTGCTTCCCCAGCCAAGGTCTGCCACGAGCATTCCTTGCAAGGARGGAGCAAACCAGCAGGAAAGTCTTGTACTTACTGGTTGGTTAAGATTGCTCCTTTTTAGCACTCTACAAATACATTGAGATTTTCCATCTTACCTCCTTTCAATTTTAATTTGGATGGGTATGATGGCTGGAGAAGGGTGATAAAGAGTTGAGATTTGTGCATTTGTGGGGGTTCCTGATACAAACAGATGGGAAGAAATCTAGGGACCAGAACATTGTTCTTTCAGTCTTCTGGTGTGAGACTAAAAGCTGATGCTGTGCCTGATTTTTGTGCTGTGAAACAGTGCCTTTGTCCTTTGTAAAAGCCCAGCACAGTTCAGCCCTGTGGGCCACATAAATACTACAGCAACAGGGGAAGAACAGGGGGCTTGAATTAGTCTAGATGTCCCCAAACCTTTCCTGGTTGGCTCCACCCTAAAGAAAAGCTTATCTAAAACTCAGCCTAAGACCTAAGAGAAAATCATAATATTTGTCTCCTAAAACAATAAACAGAATTCATTCCTGGTAAACCAGTCTTTGTTTTTCAACAGAGGTAATTTAATACAGGTTTGTAAATAACCTTCTTTATTTACCCTTCTGTCTCCTCATCCTTTTGCTCTCCCAGTCAACTCTCAAGACTAAAAACCCACCAGCTGCAGGTAAAGGAAGCAATGGGGAAGAGGGAAACTTGCCCTTTGGGCCTGTATATGCATGGAAGAAAGGGACAGAAGGGTATTAAAGCCACCTCATGGCTGCTGGTGCACTGAAAATGAGGGAAGTTTGGGTCTYGTTTCAGTGGTTCTGCAAACCTGACTTGCACAGCTTCTTCCCTGATAGCTACAGCCACTGATGTTATCCAAGACAACACTTCACTACAATTGGAAGCTCCTGGGAGAGGATTGGTTTCCTTGCCTCTACTTTCTCCAGTTAGTATCTTGCTTAACTAAACTCTGGGATTTAGTTTGTTAAGGATTGCTGYTAAGGAACACCACACCCCAGAGCCCACAGAGGGGAAATATTTCAGTTTCARGTTAGATGAACCATGGACACGAGTTCAAAAAGTTATAAATCAGTCAGCAACGAAATTTGACTGTGAACTGGAAGATTTCTTCAGGTTTGAGGAATTAAGTCCTTGAGCATCTGTCTAAAGAGTGTAGCAGAGGCAAGGATCCTTGGTGTTAAACAAGGGTATGGAAAGGGGTGTATCACAGGCTAGATGAATGTGTTGAGAGGGCAACCTGCGATAGCAGCCAATATTTAGGTCTCRTTAAGGGAAGGATGTGTTTGCTGCTCAGGTCAGCATGAACTTACTGGTCCACCCTGCCTTGCTTTGAAGGTGTGCAGGCCGTTTTCCAGGATCACAGTTCCTGCTCTTTCCCAGTATCACCCTATAGGCATTGTTTCTCTCTCTGCTGGTCCTGGTCCTTGCTGCTGGCATCTGTGCAGGGTGTGTTTGTTGGTTTGTTTCACTGACTGAAGAGCTCTCTTCTGAGCTCATCTGGACCCTCAGGTTCCAGGMTGAGGTCGGGGTCTCTGGCTGTTACAGGCTCACATGAAGTCAAYGGGAAGCATCAGAGTTTGGGGTTTCATCAAGGCCTTTTTGCTTTGCATAAAACATTCTGTGAAGGGATGTGCCTGATGGTTTTTGCCTCTTTTTTCTCCCTCTTAAGTACAGAGTCCACAAASGGAGATGAACAAATTAAGTTCAAATCTTTCCACACTCCCCTCCCTTCCCAAAGGTGCAACTTGGGACAGATTTCAGTCTCAGCTAGTACTGGCACTGTTACTCTGATTCCTCAGTCTCTCGCCTCGCTCAACTACTTTTACCTTGTTTGTGTTTTTTTACATGTTTATTGTGAGACCTGATGCCTAAATCCYTCAGCATTGTGGGAAGGTGCAATTGTATCTTAGCAAACCACTCCTCAGCGCTTCCACAGAAGCCTCATGCTGTGAGCTCTGTATTTTAGGAGGCTGGAGCAAYTAGCTGGAGTTGTGTCTTTTAGACAAACTATCCCAAAGAAGCCATTTCCTGTCAATAGGTAGTTTAGAAAAATGATTGGCAAGTTTTTCTCTGCATGTTTGTATGTGCTGGAGTTCTGTGTAAATCAAGCCAATGTTCACATYGTCACATATATGATTTGAAGTTGTGGGCCTCTGGAGTGATTGGTAAAGGTAGGGAGGGAAGATCCTGGAAGTGAGGGCTCTGCCAGGAGCTGAATGCCAGGAGGTGGCGAGGATCCTTTGTCAATCCCACCACTGGCCTATTATCAACCAACTCTATGCCCCAGAGAGACAAAACCAAACCCCTTTTCATACACAGATGAGAGACAGAATAATTTTGCATACTGCCACTGGTGGAAAACAGTCTGTGTTTTAAATTTTTTTTTTAAACTTTTATTTATTTTTTTTAGAAAAGGAATAAACTCTGCATGGTAGAGTGTACAGTATATAATTTCAAAACAGAACAAGTTATATGGAATGGATTATTTTCCCAAACGATTTAAAGTTGAACCTAAAATCATTTGTAAATCAACACTCATTGCCATATAAGACAAAGGAAACAATCAACATGTTTTTTGTTTGGTACAGATTTTCTCTACCACTTCAGTCTGAACTTTCCCAGGGTTGGGCAGAAAAGGGGGGGCAAATCCTGCCCATTGTCCTAATCTTAATTGTACTGACCAAGCTTTGTGCTCTGAGATCTAGCAACATATGGCTTTATACATGTTCCTAAGCGAACAGTGCAACATCGTCACCATCTYAAGTGTTTATTCCACATTCACACTGTAACTGAACATCACTCTGAAACGCTTTTCCGCCCCCAAAACAACGGTGATAACAATGAAAAGCAGAAAGTCTCCAGCAATCAGATTTCATTCCAGAAATCTGTGTAAACGGTAGATCAGGACTGGGTAGCAGCACAGAAGACAAAAGATGTGACAGCATGATTCGATAGTGTCTCTAAAGACTACTGTAAGACTGCYATTCTTTAGTCTGCATCTTGCAATCACAATTTGCTTTTTCCCTGCAATGCTATAAAGCAATATAAGAAAAAAATCAGACTCAAAAGCAAAAGGCAGAAGCCTTCACGGAAAGGTAAAGCTTCTGCTTAGCCTTGAGTGGTCGCTATTAGAAACAGATCTCTGCAATCAGAAACAAATCTTGAACGTATATACACAATTTGGGTGGAAAGGATACGGCCAAGGGTGGAAGCCCTCCTAGCAGACCCACAGACTGTTCTGGATTGTAGGTCCACACTACACCGCCTCTTTGGTCTGAGTGAACCAGCAAGGCAGCCACAGGCTCCAGGTGCACTCCAGGCTCTTGGCTCCACTGTTCCTTGGCCGTGTGGGGGCCAGGAGGAGGAGGAGGAGGAGGAGGAGCAGGAGGGGGAGGGAGTAAGAGAGCTGTCACGGGCCCCCTCCCCTCACTTTGCAGCTGGCTGAGTGATGCGTGGGTTGCAGTGACATGGGACGTTACACTGGGAAGGTTTAAGTGCACACTTTTCTCTTTACCCCCTCCTCCCCAATTCTGCTGGAATGTATCTACATCAGTAATCAGATAAATATTATTGATAACTGTCAGCTAGAATAGTCACCCCTCCCCCCCAGAATGGGGGGAGAGCAATAGTATCAAACAAATTCCCATTTGTTCTGACATKTGTAACCTTTCCAGATCCCGTAGAGCAATCATATGCAGGCTTTTTCRTACTAGAATTTAAAAGAGTCAAAGCTGGTAAAGAAACTGGATGTTTCCTGGCCTAACTGAAGGAAATAATAAAACTGATTAAAGTAAGAGTGAAAGAAAGTAAGCATTAGTGTGTTTGCATCCTCTGGTATGTCCCACTTCTCTATGTTCCGCTCACAAGCCCTTTCCATACTCTGAGCAAGCACTCCCAAACTTTGAGAGGTAAGGCTTCAGCTGAAATCTCACAGTTGAGATTATTATTTATGTAATTACCACAAATGTAATAACTTGACTYTAGCAAATCCATGTGGGGCACATCGAAGGCAAGGCTTGTTAAGTGAACCAGCACAGGAGAAGATCGGACAGGGGTGGAATCCCACATGGTAACAGCAATTGAACAATGTCCATCAGCACGGCATTAGCTTAGTGTGGATATAGCATCAGGAGCYTGGATAAAGCCTTTAAGCTTTCTGGATGTCCAGTCAGAACCAGGGAAGCTGCAAGAAGTTTTACCATAAAACTCCAGTACTGCAATATCTAAAGGAACTGGATCTCATYGGGCACAGATTTTAGGTTTTGCACAGTCAATCCTAATTAAAACCCCAAAACTTTAATGGCTGATGCCCCTGCTGTTGGAGCCTTAAGACACCTGTTATACTGCTGAGCCCTACTTTTTTTTTTTTTCAGTAAAACACTGTTTTAAGATAGTGCACAACAAATGTGCTTATTACGCACTCTAACATAGAGCACAGAAATACAACACTACAGAGTGCAAGTCTAACCATCTCCACAGTGGGAAAAGTGCGAAGGTTAAAAATATGCATGTGGCTTAACACAAGATATTTTTAAAAAACATGACATGGAAATCTTATACTAATGCTTTCATCTTTACCACAAACATGACTGAAAACTTAAGGTCAGTTGCTGATCCTTCTGTCGCAGTAGTAGTAGTGTAATCCTTTCAAAGGTACAATGTTAATAAAAACCCAAGCGTCCAAAAATGATCCCATTTACCACTTTTCCAGTAGTTATGTTTTTCAAGAAGTAAACGTGTAAGGTCACCTTGATCTTCACCATCAGTAACTGATACACTTGGAAACAGCTAAGCCAACCRCCTGGACTGAGATCAGTTCGGTGTCGCACACGCACGCACACACRGATACACACAAATACCCCACAGGAAAAAGTGCACTTTCAATTGCTGATACAAAAATAGATTGGCACATTCTTTTTGACACAGTGAAGATATCTTCTTTAAAAGCTTTTTCACTTTAAGAGGTCCTCTTGGAATTTGCAGCAGGTCTGTAGAAAAAGCGCTACAAGAATGCACTCAGTGGGCTTCCAGGGTTTGTGTGATGGAGAGAGGGGTGGTCATGGAGGCTGCCCTTGTAATTTTTGCCTACTTTTAGAGCTGYAGTCCCTACAGGTAGGGTCAGTTGCCACCCAGTTTCAGCACGTGAACTATTTACCAACAGCTCAGTCTTCACCTGCTTCGAGAAAGCAACGACACACAAATTCATCAAAACCGAGAGTCSATGCAGTGTTTCCTGCACGTAGCCAGAAAAACTGTTCTGGGGGGAGAGTGAGAGCCAAGTATCAGGAGTCTGATTTTGCATTTCCAGTAGTAACTGCGGCTCGGGAGAGCCAAGCGGGAACAGTCAGGAGCCCCTTCCCCGCAGGGCAGCCAGCGCTAGGAGTTCTGCACCAGGCGTCTGTAGTGCGGCATCACTTCGTGCTCGGGGAGGTGCAGAGCGAACTCCAAGGCCACCAGCACCGGGAACTCRAAGGCGATCAGCTCTCGCCTGTTCAGCCGGAACTTCTCTTCCAGTTTCTGCAGCCACAGCCGAGGGGAAAAATAATAAATTAGGAAAAATGGAATGAGGGTTTGCCTTCCTAGTGCTCTCCCACAAACGATGTTAATCAAAACATRCATGCTGCTGTCATTAAACTTCTGTCCTGATCAGCTTGCATGGCTCTAGGTTTAGAAAATCAGAGCAGGGTGAACGGGGTGTACTGATTGCTTACTGTGAAGGTGAACTCCTAAAGCTCAGCCAGCCATGCTATTTCTGACACGTTCGTCATTTCACTCACTCCACTGCCAGCAGATACATCTTCTAASGATCACAGTGATTACCACTGCAGTAACAGGAAATTCCTGGCTTCATGCAAACATCAAAATCACTTGTGTAATGGAAGACATGCATCTTGTAATTGTCCATAAATTTCCTGAACTGCTTGAAATCGCTAATTTTCCTTTCAGTATTAGACTGTGCTACAACGCCCTATTGGGGAAACTATTTTTGCCACAATTTGATCTTAATACCCCAGAAACTGAGAGCATTTTATTGAAAAATAAAATTTTTATTGAAAAATAAAAAGCTATTCTTGAGGGGGATGAGATGGGCTTTATAGCTGGTTTTCTGGTATGCTGTACTAAACCTCCCACATTCTCTGCTGTTTTCGCYGGATTTGGATGCGACAAGTAGGCAACCAGTCGCTCAGGGGTATTTCCCTCCTCATCCTCTTCTTAGGATCTCCCTGGCTTGCCACTTCTCTGCCCGTGGGTCTACTGCAAAGTTGAATGTGTCTTATGGATGGACCAATGTTTCAAGATAGCAAGGAAAGCCAGGTCTTCCCATTTCCACTTGGCTGATTTTTTTGGTGATTATTCAGAGGACTCTCTCACAAACTGACTGGCAACTCAGCTCTGTGACTGTGGGATGAGAGCATGAGTCCAGTCCTGCCCCCCATCCATGTTCCCAGGTCTCTTCCCTTGAGTGAGCTGGCTGTAGCCAYATACCCAGATACCTGCCTAACTTTCTGTGGCACTAAATCAGATTGGTGCCTCAGTGCTTGCAAAGGATGGAATAACACTCCCCCATGTTAACTCTTTCATATTGAGTGGGTGGAAGACCAAACACACTACTCTAAAAAAACATCTGGAGGGAGGTGTTCTAATGGGAACAGCTCTTTAGGTTTTCTTGCCCAAAAGCTGAACTGAAAGATATACGAAAGTCTATTGGACTCCATCTGAAATTAGTATCTGCATTTAATTCTCCAAGGAGATTCCTGACTCACACTCTTGAAAACACAATTAAAAGCAAAATTAATTTCCTGAGGGTTCACCTTTTGCCTTGTATTGACAGAATGGTGGTCAGATACATCTCAAACCTCACACTGTCTGACACCAGGGCCTTCTATTCCATCAAACAAGCTTCCCATGCCTCTGCAGTGACGCTGATCAGTATTGCTTCCACAAAAATTTGCAACAAAAAAAAAACCTGTTTAGCTAGCTGTACACCTGGAAGCCTAAAGGAGAGCATGTTCACTGACAAACAGACCTGCACAGACCACACACCAGCACTTCAAGYAGATGGAACACTGGAAACCTATGGATACGTACATCTATAAGATGCTTGACTTCATGTTTTCTGAGGTCACTACCAATTTTGGCTGCTAAAAGAACACAAGCTCCAGCACAAAGCTTTCTATTCTGCTTGTTCAGCTTCCCCTTGAGAGCGAGCTTCTCAAAGTAGACAAAGGCCATGGCCACTGTGGGCTCTTCAAAACCACATTCTTCTTGAGCAAGCTTGCGCATTTCTCTCTTCAGGCTGAGTAAAGAGACCAGACAAATATGCTGTGAAAGGAGTTTTAAAGCATTTCACCCCAGTAGCCATGATTTCAGAGATTCCTGCTTAGTCAAATGGAGGGGAAAACACAATTTACTAGGCTTTATGCTCTGTTTTGGGGGCACATTTCATGGCACATTTTTACATCACCCTTCCCCCTCACTGCCTCCAACAGATAGTTGTGTCAAGCTATAAAAGCAACTGAAAAGGTTTGACTTAGCAACATTTCATCAGAGGTGCTATGTTGCATACCATTTGTTTAATAACGTTTTGATTACTTTGCTGCTGGTTATGGYTGGTCAGATCCAAGCTGACAGTTCTGTCCATGCACTGCAGCACTCTCTGATTACAGAGCTACAGGGCTCAGAATCCTTCTGGCCACCAGGGTCAAATGAAATTATCATTACTTCAGTGGAGCAATATGTTTAGCCTGCTGCACTGGAAACAGAGATGGAATATTACAACTTCTCTGTGAAGCCAACTACGCTTTTTGCTTCTGGCCAAGGCACAAAAGTCAGCACTTCTCTTTCCTCAGTCTCTTTTTTAGCTAAGTGCCACAAGCTTAGAGATTCTGTTACATTGTTTTTCTGGGTATTTTAATATAGTGCATGCCCAGCTCCCATCCTAATCCTGTTAAATGCAGTGTTTGACACCTGACCAGTGCGTGTTTGCACATTCCTCTATCCTATTTACTCCTCCCAGTAATCAAAGCAATCATCTGACTTACTCTGCACCTCTGCTGGTCACTGCCCCTGAAAGATCAACCTGAGCTGTGCTTCCCCCCAAGTACAGCAGGAATTGCACTGAAATGTGAGACAGCTGCAACACATTGCAGCCTTATYGAGCTTGCAACGTACCTTCTTATTTTACTGAGGGTTAGCTTGATGTGAGGGAACTTCTCCTTGAAGGTCTCATTCATGTCCTTCTTGAGATCTGATGGTTTCACGTAGTCTATGACTGTGGTCTGTAACAAACACATGGCAAGAGGGAATTATTCTTTTAGCTTGGAACAAAGATCACTTGATTCCCAGAAGCAAGGAAAGCAAGGAATACCAAACAAGTGCCAGTCAGTCCTAATGCTCTCAGTAGACAGGGGAATTAAGGCAATTATTTGTTTGCAACTGACAAAACCAGTTCAGCACAAGCCTTGAACAAMACATATCTCATTAGCATCCTCCCAGCACTGCTAAGAGTGAGTGTAGATAAATGTGGCTGGATGAAACCTACCTGAGAAGTCTTGTAAAACAAAAAAAAAAATCATCATAAAAACCAATTTGATGACCAGATTTTGGTGCTTATCTCCATGTAGTTATGAAACACATTCTGAGTTTCTCTCTGAAGAAACTGATTCTTCAAAGAAACCACTGATAAAATTCTTGACTCYTGTAGCATACACTTATGATAAAATGGGCAATTAGCCTACATGGCAGGTCACTCAGCAGAGTGCAAAACAGAAATGCTGAGGTAAGTTAGGCAGTAAGTGGACAAGAGAGTCAGGACAACACTCAAAGTGTACAGTCCATTTCTTTTGAGCTTCTTACTCCTTTCTGTTACAACCTAAGGCATTTCCCTGAGCTGCAAAGGGTTCTCGTGCCCAACACAGCAATGTCAGCACCTGCATCTGTGGGAGCCCAGCTCTTCCCTCATTCCCTCAGTCTTTATTCAGGTAATACTGTGCCCAAATCCTTTGTCACCAATCACCTGGCAAAAATCTATCAGCTCAATGACAAATCAACCTTGATTTTGGGAATGTGCCAATTCTCTTCCTCRTTTTGGCAGTTCTGCCTGTTGGACAGAAGCAGAGAAAAGCCCCAGCTTGGGCATCTGGGGGACAGCCTGGTCCACAGGCATCCAGCTCCCAGCCAGCTTCAAGCTTGTATGGGTGCAACAGTGTGCAGTGCAGTGCATTCTCCTGCTCGTAAAACAATACTTCCCTTCTAATTTCTGGTTTTGATTAATCTGTATWATGGCAAAAGGCTGTTAACACCCAATAACAAGACATGTAAAGAGGCATGCAAAACCCTTGCTGCATGTTATGCCTGTATAGAAGATGGAGCTTTGCTGTAACATATCCTCATGGGAATCCAAATCAGCCAAAAAGACTGACTGCATATGCTTTCAGGCTTTTTTWAATCATTAAAACAGTATATGGAAGGGCTTGGGGAATACAGAGTGCAGTGGCTCTAGAGAGAAAGCAGACAATTCCCTTTAACCAATCATGTTGTTCTCTGGTTCCAAAATAAGCATGAARGAAAGTAAAACGCACCTAACTTTCCCTGCACTTTATTTAGAGATATGCTGCTGATACCATTAGGAATTAYAGGAATTTAAAGCAAAGCAGAGCATGTGTTTCCTCTAAATAGTGCCCAGTAGTATTTGAGGCAAACATGCTGTAATAGCGAGGGAAAAACCAAGGTTTTTGCCATGGGGTGTTGTTAGGTCATGCACATGTTTTAACACACTGGCCATTCTGCCACATCAACACTTGCCAGCCACCCTTGCTGCCCTGCACATGCATGGATAAGCCTGAATGCAGATTTGGGCACACAATGCAGCACCCTTGAGGTTAAAAATTCGTAAGCTGCCTTGATGCTGAAGCAGCCAATGTGCTGGGACACCTGAATGAAAGGAAAAGACTGGGAGGRGAAGCCTTGCCCTTGATGGGATTGGTGGGAAAGGCTTCAATGGAATGTGTGGGCCTGCCTGGTTTTAATCCTCCTGGGTTGAAGGATGAGTGCCTGCACCGTGCAGCCTCGACTCCTCACTGCACACAGCTCCTCGTGTGCTTCATCTCACCTGGCAGGGCTCAGCCCTCTAAAGCAGAAGAATTAAGGTCTTAACAACTGCTCCTTTCCTTTCTTTCCTTGGAATGTTGCTGCCTGCCTGCCTACTCCTTGGTACTGTTGCCAAAGGACCATCAGCAAGCTGGGCACTGCTGATGTGCAAATATTCTGTGTGTGAAGAGGCTTCCTCTGGGTAGTGCTACAAGAGGAAGCTGGAACCAGGCACATCTGATTTAGCCCACTGCTGTCTGCCCCTCGGGGTACAGAAACATGGGCCCATGCTGCTTGTGCTTACAGAGTCAAGAGACACCAATCACATACATATTATCAAATGTAAAGGTGATTTTAGTTACTGCTATGTTTTTTTGGGGTATCTTGGGCAATTCCAGGCGCTGAGATCTGTGCGCAAAGCTATCTCACATCTTATTTCATGCTTCACTACAAACCCAACTGCCCACCGCTTGTTCTTCATTACCACAGAGCTCGTAGTTTTATCTTAATTAACTTGCTCTCTCAGCTCTCTCCAGTTTATCTCCTTCCCTTGCTCATGTGTACAACAGAACCCACTCCCCAGCAGAAAGGGCACAGCAGTAGAGAAAAGGCACAGCAGCAGAGGCCTGTCCATCCTCCAGGCTCAGCTGAAGGGCTGCACAGAACGTGTATCAGAGAGAAAGTTTCAGTGCTTTCACCCCTAAACGTGGGTGTCAGGGTGACGCCAGCTTTGGGAGACACTGTGCAGAGGGGGAGCGAGCCCTGGGCTCTGCCACACAGCAGCAGCAGACCCTTGGGGTGCACCTTGCCTGCTCTGCAGGCACYGACTTGTTTTACCTGGGACTCCTCCAGCCTGCGGGAGGTTTGCCAGAACYCAGCTAAATTCTCTTTGGAAGGAGAAAAGCTCTTTTTCAAAAATTCGTTTAAAAGCAAAGCGCTCAGAGGCTTGAGACAAAACAGACAGCTTAAAACTGAAAACAGTAAAGAGGTAGGGTTATTTTTAAACACAGAGATTTGTCAATTTTGTCCTGTTGATAAGGATCTCCCTCTCTCCAACTCTGAATACTGCCGCTTCCTGCAAGACAACAGTCTCTACGATATAAATCACAATAATGAAATCCAGATGAAAGCTGGTGTGTGCTGGTTTTGATTCATGTAACAGGATAACAGCAGCATGTTTGAACACACTGGCTCTAAGGCAGCTGTCTCATCTTGTCAGTGCCATGCTGGAGAGCTCAGCTAGCTGCCCTTATTCTCAAGAAAAGGATCTTTTTCCCCCCTTGATTTTTTTCCTTTGCAGCTGCTGCAGAAGTCGAACTTTGGGCAATGGGATGTAGCTTGCCCAGCTGGTGCCTACAAAAATGCATCCCGTGCATGCAGGACCCTGCCCAGTAGTGAGACAGGCAGAAAAAAAACCCCAAAAGAGTATCTGTTGAGAGGTAATTTAAAATCAGTGTTGAATTAGCATCTGTTGAGGGATCTGAGTTACCCCTTCAGATGGTTTCTGACCAGAAACCTGAGTACCCCTCTTGCTGGGGCACAGCACTCATGAGGCTACACAGAAATCTTGGTCCCCAGCCCTGCTCCTGCCCARGGCACTTCACACACCCCACAAACATCTTGGGACTGAGCAGCAACCCCTTGCTGCTGCCTCTGCCCATGAGTAAGGGAGTGGAGGACAGCTCTGGAGTGGTCCAGTGACCCACAAGAACCAACTGGGATCTGACAGGGGACGGCTTGGACACGACGTCATCCTTCTCTGCCTGCTCTCTTCTGAGCGTTTACTTTTCTGTTTGAGACCATGTCATTGCACTTGTGTTGCCTGCACGTCCCAAATGAAGATGCCATGTGAAAAAAAATACATGACTGTGTCCAGGACAATTCTGGTATTGCCTGTGTCAGGGCTGTGTTCAGTACTGATGCTCCAAATTTTAAGAAGAGTTTGCAAATATTTCCCTAAAAGGAGCACAGCTTTTCTCTACCCAAACATGATTTCTCATCCACAATGTTATTCCCTACCAGGCAGGCACTCTGTACTCCCAGAGCTGTCAGACACACCAGCAAGGCACTGGGAACTACTAAACTGTCTCTCTCATACTCTAATCTCCAATGTTTTTAACTTCTGTCATCCAGAGCCGTCTGTCTCATTTCTCACAGCTTATTTGCAGGGAACACATCTCAGCTCAACATTCAGCAATACTCCTCGGTGGGCTCTGCTACGCTCTCTGCACACAAATCTGTGTATGTATATTTTCCTTTGGCGATGGGAGCTGCACAAGACAAATGAAAGCCCTGATATATGGCAGCTGACAGATGCCTGGACAGCATGATGAACGCTTCGGCCCAAGCCTCTACTCCACACACTTTTTGCATGGCTGGCAGTTTTGAACTTGGAGCTGAGTTTGTGTGTTATTCACAAGCTGCTGCTTGTGTTATTCAAGCAGCTGCTTTCTCATAGGAAAGCTGTATATATCGTTTCATAAATATGGGAGGAGAGAGGATGCCTGAAATGGTTGGGAAGACTGGCAGGATGAAATATTGTTGAAAATAAATCCTACTTTGGCATACAACCAGTAAAAGATGATCTAGTCTTGGATCTATCTCTTAGCTTAAGAAGGATAAAATCAGAATTAAATAGGTGAATAAAGTGAAAGATATATGACAGGCTCTCTTCAGCTGTTCTTACTGWGTACCTCTGATAAAGCTACTTCACAGAGAGCAGATGGAACACTGATACTGAAGCAGACTTTTGGTCTTTTACCAGGTCACTGGTAAGTTCTCAGCCACACAAGGAGTGAAGTCAGTGACTGCCCTCTCTGACTACTTTAATGCATCCCATAGGTGACCAGCTATGCACCTATCAACTGCCAGTAACATAAYTCATATACTTATGGCTTATGATGCATATATATGGGGAATCCTGAGAGACACATTAAATTGCAATGGAAAATGGGAGTGATTCTGAATTACAATTAAAATCCTAAAGAAGGAAATGATGGACTAAAGTAAGATGTTTCTGTTTTTACAAGCTTTTTAACATTCAAGGACTTTAACTGAAAGCTTCTGATTTCACAAGGCAAATAGTCTCTAAACTGGCCCTTTGAAATTAAGTACATGGAAGTGCATTTATTTTATATTAACACTCTGGACTTATTCTCAATTTATRCAGTGTGTCACTGTTACAAAACAATTTTTATTGGCATCTCAGCCAAAAATAGCATCAAATGCATAGAGCACAGGGTTTAAATATGATTATCTACCACTGCAATCCTCTGCTCCCTGAGACTTTTGGGTACAAGGTCAGCAGCTGATAAAAAAGCAGTCTGCAGATACTTAATATACAGCTACGGAAGTGGCTCGAAGAATAGGGTGACAGCGCTGAAGGACGCTGCCTGCAGTGGAGTCTTCCTGACCTTGGTGCTCCTYGTGAAAGACAGAACGGGGGAGTGAGAGACCAAATGCATTGTATCATCRTGCAGGGCTTTTGTCAGACCAAAGGGCCAGGACAGCAAGCAGTTCTAATTTTAAAATCCCACTGGAGGACTGATATTAAACAAGGCAGCGTGGCTGTGCTCGGCACTGGTGTGGTACCTGGCAGTGCAGGCTCACGGGCAGGCACTGAAACAGCACTGCAGACTGCTGTGACGTGCTTTTTTGTTAGAGCTGTGGAGATGGCAGCTTGCTTTTATACAATTAAACCAACACTGACATTGTAGTTCAGCACCCAAACCTAATTCCAKGTGTATCCCTGGAGCACAGACAGATGGATATTTCAGGGATGCTACCACAGAAGGGTCACTCAAAGTCAATGTGCTGCTGATTTGGGCTTTTCTTCTTTCGCTGCAAGTTTTGGCAGCAGGCAGTGACCACTAACATGCTCCTGTGTTTCTGTGTTAACCAGCAAAAGCAGGACTKCAGGGTCAGCCTCAAGCCTTTTGGGAATGAGTTTTCTGTGTTGGCACAGAAGGAGTTCCTGCTGGAAAGAATGCAGAGAGGCCAGGGAGGCATTGATGAGTCTGTACGCATGCTAGTCAACATGAGATTTGAGGAAAGAAATTAATGCTCAGTCTGGTAGATAAAGTTCCTGTTTCAGAGAGATTTAAGAATCTGCACGAATTCCTGTTCCAGCAGTATCAGCCAGGAAGACATCTGTTAACCATGACATGATGTTTCCCTTCTCCCCCACCCCCCAGCATGAATTTTTTCTACCTCTTACTGTTTATACTGTGGCAGAGATTGCAGACTCTCCTACAAAGACAACACAAAATGAAATAATTTCTCCAGGGCAGACCAGAGTATAAATACAACTTATACAATTAATAGAAGCTGCAGCTTTTCTGTTGGGGAAGTATTGAAGAATACTTTCAGAATTGTCCCCTGACAGGCAATTTGTAGGTATTACTTTTAGAAATGCGAAGGGGAAGTGTATACTCTTTTAAGCCTGGGAGTTCACTACAAAAAAAAAAGAAAAAAAAATAAAAAGAACAAAAAAAGACCAAACCAAAAGCACTTCTTCTTCCCCACAGCTATCTTCAGGGAGGAAGCTCAGCTCTTCTTTGAAAATAGCTGAGGACTTGTAGCTAGCACTTCTCTTCAAGAATCAGGGCYAATTCAGCTCAGTAAAATGAAAAGACTATAAAATCAGTATCAGTGATGATAAACTTGGGTTCTACAAAAATTGAGCACATAGAGTGCTAGTTGCATGTATTTATGAGTAAATTCCAAGCYGGACCACACATTTTGTCCATCTTGTGCCTCGGGATGAAGCCTGCAGTGTTTACTGATGCAGCATTCACAGAGCCCTCAGCAGAGCTTTCCCAGAGGAGAAATCCTGGCCTGCAAAGCACGAGCCAGGGAGTGATATCAGTGCATGCAGCTCTACCCTGCAGGCAGTGCTGCAGCCCAGCATCCACTCTTCTTCCACACCTTCCCCCCCATTAATTGCTCTGACATCCATAAGGAGGGGTGAGGGGAATATCTACAAGCTTGCAGCTGTCAAGCATTAATGCTAAATCCTGGCCAAGTAACGAAACTTCAATTACACGCTGCAGCTCTCCACGCACAACACAACACTGGGCGCTGACATCAGAGCTGCTCTCAGCTGCTCGGTGCCTGCGAGAGGCAGCAATTCCAGCCCCATTCCACCCAGGAGCAGAGGCTGCTTCCCTCTGCATTTGTGTGGCACAGCTCTGGCACCACTGCAGTGGCTGTGCATGCTCAGGAAAAGAACACAGATTTCTCCCTGGCCCCAGATGTAATTTGCCTTAATTGCAGTGTGCATTGATTTTTATATTTGGGGGGAAGAAAATTACTTGAAATTATAAACCGTTTTTCTCCTGCTCACACTGATGTGAACTGCAGGGAGAGTGAGAAGGAATGCCAGTAGAGTCAGGAAAGTCTAAAACAGACGTGAGTAAGATTTCCTACATAGCCAATATGGCCTTTTATTCACCAGCTCCATGCACAAGCCCTCCTTGCCCAAGCTGCAAAATCCTATTTAACCTGCAAACTCCCAGTTCACTCCAGCACCACCTTTTCTCCTCTTGTCTGAAGAAAACACCAGCACCCTGTGAAATATTTCAGCTGAGCACTGAAGAACAACCCCTCATTTTCTTTCAAAGCCATGSAGCTCCTGCATGGCATCACAGCAATGCTGCTTCAGCTGCAAAACCTCTGCCAAGAGAGCCCTTGGCACGTGCCTGTGATTCCCCTTGACAAAAGAAACAGAGCACACTGTGCCTGCCTTCAGAAATGGAGATGGGAGTCCCACAGACCCTCAGGCAGTGCTCAAGAAGTGACGTCTGGGAGGCAAATTCAGGAAAAAAAAACCCTCATCTGTCAAGTAAGACATTACTTCAGACAGAGCAGTAATTAATCCCTAGAGAAAATTGAAAGGCAGGGAGATCCCTGTCAATGCAAATATACTCTAGATAAACAATGACATTGATTTTAACAACTGTCCTTGAAGTCCATTTTTCACCTTTAGGGCGTCTAGTCATACCCCTGTCAAATCCCCAGGCAGCTCCTTTTTACAGTAAAAGTACAAACACAAGACTTTGAAATGCTGTGGTCAACCAGCACAGAGAGAACAGCACTGAACACCCAYTCGTGGGTGGAGAACTCCCTTTCAGGATGGCATCCTGGCTGCCCTATTTTGACTCATTTAACCATGTCCATGACAACATCAAGTTAAGAAGGGATCAAAGATCTCAGGTGATCCTAGGGGACTTGTTCCTCCTGGCACACAYTGGTAGCCTGAGGAAGGTCAGAAACACAGCCATGACTGGTAGAGCTTTGTTCCCTTTGGATGTTGGCTAACAATGTCCTTCTCCTTGAGGGAAGACAGTTCCCTGTCCACGACAGTAACCAGATCAAAACCTAACAAATATTTTCCCACACAGATGTAGCTGCTATAAAAGGTTGTCAGTTTGTGGGTTGGCAGCTAAAAAATAACTTGCCAACCCTTAAAGGAAAACTGGCAGCAAGAAAGCAGAGGATATTCTGGACTTCCCATTTGAAAAATCAAGCATAAACACAGCCTTAGAACTCAATTAAGCCTCTGTGTGCAACAGACAGAACATTCCTGCTCACAAGCAGACAATCTCCAATCTACATGAAACACTCAAAGCTAATTTTTAAGAAGAACCCAAGACCCAAACTACCCTCCAGGTGGGGGGGCAGATGAGAACCTACAAAGGATGTATCTTTACATACATTAGCAGTTTCTTAAATAACATCTTCTGTTCCAAATTAAACCAGAACATGGACAACACTTTAGACCTCAGTGTTTCAAATCCTATTGTATCTGTAAATAGACAAGAGTAGTAGTCACTACTTTGGGGGAAAAAAAAAAAAGAATAATCTTTTCCCTACTATTATTCTGGATGTGTAATCCAACATATAAATGCTCACACGTGTATGACTGAAGTGCATCTTGCAACAGTGCTGCAAAAATAGTCTACAGACTTGGAGCAACAACAACAAAAAAAAGGCTACAGAATTCTGTCACCCCAGAAAACATGGAGTTACAGCACAGACCAAGCAACAGTTATGTGTCTGTATCATTAAGGGTTTGGACATAGTGAGAAATACACTCTGCTCACAATAGCTGCAATTAAAGGAAGGACTATCCCATGGTGAAATAAATACCTGGGAAACAAAGCTGTTCAGAGGAGTGAATGATTAGCATCAAAACACAGTGTAGCTTCATGACTTCAGAAAAACCCCAATGGGCATCCTCCTATTTTGTAATAGATGCCAGTTTGAGGAAGTATAAATTTTCCTCTCAATGCCAGAGAATGAGTGCATTGTTTGAACAAGCCTTTCAACTAAAGCATTTATGAAATACAGCAGTAATAAAAGTGTTTGCTTTTGTAATACCTCCATGAGTTTGTTTTAACATGTCCTGAGAAGTAACTGTCATTTAGAACAAAGCATTCCGAACAGCTTTTATTARCAGATGAAAACTAATAATTGTCTTCTTAAAATTCGGCCAAATGAAACCTCCAAAATTCTGTTACCAGAATTTCTCTGTCCTACATCAAATCACTTACCATATATGAAGGAAATATTAAAACCCGCTTATGTTTGCCACAGGGCCACTGAGGATCATCTAAAAGATTTGGGTCATATTCAACGAAGTCTCCCAGGTCACTACCTATAAAACAACAGTTGAGATATAGAAGAAATTACATCAATAATTAATAACATCAAGAAACCTCTGGACTTAACAGAAGTGTCAAACAAGTTCACAGATAATGCACAATATTATCTCCATTTAAGATTTTCTGAAGAGATGAAAAATTGCTCTAAATTTTCACAACTCTAAGTATTTCTGTGTTATTTCTATAAGATGATTTGCCAAGATATAGAAGACCTACAGCTTATGAATTAGCTGGTAAATGTGAATTTAGGACTTAGAGAACTGCAGATTTACACAAAGCTCCACAATGGCTTTTATTCCCAGCAACAAGTTTTCATCTGTTCAAGCAAATGTTTTGATTTGTTTCATTTATCATGCCAAGATATCTTAAGCATATAGTGCTTTGGCTTATGTTTTGTGTCTGGCTCTGTAAACACAGCCCTTTCCAGCCTAATAAAGGTCACAAGTGGAATTTACACCTCCAGCTTATGACTACTGTGTTGCCACTGTAAATTTTCCATAGCAAAGGAAGGGAAGGATAAGCCTTGATGCAGGAGGAACAAACAATGCTGCTGACAGGAGAAGGCATGCCGGGTGCCATTGAGGCTGTTGATATGACCAATGTGTTTGTTTATTTAACTTTCCATCCTCCACCAGCAAGCTTTCTAAGCAAATACAGACYGAGCTGTCTTCCACCCACAATACAAGACTGTATTTTGCTTAATTTAAGCTAAAAGGGGGACTAAAACATGTCAGTCCTTTGCAATAACTGCCTGCCATCAGGGTATCCAAAGAAATAATAACCAAAGATATTCAAACAAGCTACTTGAGAAGTTACCTGCATCAATGCTCCCCTGGGTGCTGTTAGCTCTTCCCAAAGAAAGGCTACGATGGCTTGCATTGCGAAATTGGGAGAAAGATGAGGTGGAATCTATTGTGTTTCTCCGAGTTCCCAGAGCATTGGTGGGAAACAAGAACTGTGTGTAAGAAACAGTCTAAAAAAAAATAGAATGGACAGTTACTTTCAGCTCAGCAGTGGGATTCCTTTGGTGCATTCCAACTGGAAGCAAGGGAAGCCAAATTAATGGAGGATTTTCTGGATTTAGTAGTTAGGCACAGATGAATAGAAACCAGTCACCTACATTTGCTTCAGTGCAGTCAGTTTATCCATGCAAAAAATGCYTTTGCAAAGGCATTAATTCTTCAGCAAAACAAACACACATACACACACAAGCTCTAATACACTGGATTTACAAAATCGAGCAGGATTTAGGGTCAGATTTAAAAATATGTCAGTTTGGTCAGGTTTTTTCCAGTGGGCTTCTCTGTAGCACATTTCAGCARCTTCTTTACTGAGCTAGCATCATCTATATTGGTCCCTCAGCACACAGCTGCCAGAGGCAAATCACTTAAACAYTGCTAAACTGAAGCACTTTCTCTGCAATTTTTCTTCCTTAGGACTTTGACTGRCAGCATCTTATTGATGTAATAAGTGAGCTCCACTTCACAGCAATGGTTGTGGGAGATCATTTGCTATCCCTCAACACSGACTAAGTGTGAATGAATAACTTGTGACAAAATTATTTTTAGAGTGCACTGATTCTCTGCTTGTACCTCTGGCCAAGAAAAGGCTRTGTCTTGCTTCTTGTTGGCTCATTTTCCAAAAATAACATTGCATTGAAGAAAAAAAAAAAAAGAGTTTGAGACTCTAGGCTGGTTTACAAGGAGGTCAGAACAGGTATCAAATAAAACACGTGAGCTTTCATTATTTATAAGCAGACAGATTGTCCTCAGGAATTTACAGCCTGTGGTCTGGCYTGACACCTGGTTAGGTGAGCACAACGTGTGCAGTGGCATTGACCCAGGGCCTTTAAATCCATATATGACAGCAGACTGAGTAAACTGAACTGCAGAAAGTAAATCAGGCTTCCAGGAAGAAATACTTTCTTTCATGATTAAAACTGTCTCTCCTCTACATATTTCTTTAAAATGGAACACTTCCCTAAAGAGTCATATTTGCTTRTTCTATTCAAGTGAATGAACTTATGGATTTGCAAAGACTCATCACATTTTGTGCTACTGTCTTCCTGCTCTTTGGAAAAACATATTATTAAGCAAAATGTAATTAAATACAATTGAAAGCAAACATAATTACAGCTACAACTCTCACCAGAAATTATTTTCAAGCTCCTGACAATATACCCTGCAGTGATACCTCCCGCTAGAGCCAGGGGAAGGCTRTGTAATTCAATAATGCTTTACAGCCTCAGATATTGCCAGAGGCAAATTTCTTCAAGGATAAAGAGCTGTCTGCATTGACAGCTTGGGCAGTCCTCATGAATTTCTGCTAAGCTTATTTACAGTTGCACATACTGTGCTCTAACTACTGTGTTACACTGCACGTTGTATTTGCGCTTGTTATTGGTTAAGCCATCTATTCCCTTATTACAAAAAATGTAAGGGAGTAGCAAGTGAAGCATCCCCACCTTCCCATCTGCTCCGAGCTCCACACCTTCAAGACCAATTATCTCTTTCAGACACACTCCAGCAGAATGGCACTGGCGTCCACCATCCAGCTTCATATCCCTGGGAAGCAGAAAGAAGAGCAGGAACAGCTCTTAATACAGGTGCCTTGTTCACTTTCCACCACCCAATGCTGAAATAAGGTGCAGCACTAATCCAGACATGCCAATGCAAAGCAGACACCAGACAACTTTTCCTATGGGAAGCGCTTGTGGGAAACACATTACAGAGAAAACCCRCATCATGTTCCAGGTTGCAGCTCATACTGCACCTATGGTGCAGAGCCAGGTTCCCCRTCATTGGGTGCCTCTGGCACCGGGAAGGAACTGGAAGCCATGTACACTTCAGGTGAGATACAACAACCCAGCCTGAACACTTGACTGCCATGGATCCGGCATGCAGATGTTCCCAGACCACATACTCACATTCCCCAAGGTGAAACAGAKGTAATTTCCCATGGAAGATTCCAGGATGGATTCCTGCTCCTCCAARAACACAAGAGAGTGGCCAAAGCCCAGTGGCCCTTCTGCTGGAGACTGACAGGAGAAACCCAGTTTTCCATGACCCTGGCATGGAAACTTGGGGATCTACTTCGGAAGGACTGACCCACTGGCATCTTCCATTTGGAGATAAATGAGATGCCTGAGACAAGCAGGCTGTACCCCATGCTTCAGCCTCATTATCAAAATGTGGGCAAAGGTAAAAAAGATTAGGAGCAAATCTGTGCTTCACAAATGATAGCTGTATACAACTCCATAATATTTATCTTGCAATATTTTCCTGTCTGATTGCTGTTGCTGTCCAAGTATGTGGTCAGAACTCTGTGTGGGAGAAAGGCTGACACGGAGGCCGGGAGAAGCCCGGCCGGTTCTTCACCCAGTTACAGGGCTGGGCTATCTCTGTTGTGACATACAATACACCCTCTTTCCTTGTCCTTCCTCTCCAACCTATCACACATTTTATTTCTCTGAAACACAGCTATCCTGAGTCCCCAGAAAGTCATGTACCTCCCTGCTGGAAAAATCCAGCACATCTATCTGCTGGAAAACATACTTCAGTGACAAAGGAAAAGACTGTATCAAGTTTCTAATCCCAACAAAGTCCTCTTAGTTTCTTGATTGGAGTTCACTTAGCGGAGTGTCATACTCTTGTTTCCTGATATCATGTTTCTGAGGGGCTGGACAAATAATTATGTAAAAATAACCTCTGTCAGAAGCAGGGTATTAGCCTCTCTGCTCCTGCACAGAAAATGCTTAAGGGGGACTATTACTCACAAAGATAAATGCTAAATTGTAACTATTTCAGCAGGTTTTATCTGTGAAACAAACACATAATCTGAGAAAGCCCCTGAACCCCAAAACGAAAACAAATATCTGAACCACCTAAAATCAGAACAGTGTAGTTTCCTTCAAGACCTTACAGACACAGAGCAAGAAATAATGCTGTTACAAGTCCGAAAACACATCACGGAAAAATTTTTCCATGTAACTAACAGACAAAGATAGGCAACTCTGCCATTCATCAAATGGAAATCCATCAGGCTTTGAAGAGTCAGCACAGCAGCTTTAAATAAAATAAAATAAAATAAAATAAAGAGCAGCTCTGGGGACTGGAAAAGAATCAGTGCTCTTGAAGCAGGGAGCAGGGTCAGCTGACAAGTGCGAGCACACACAGGAATGATTCCTGGAACCTGGCTGAAGATGGATGGACACCAATGCTTCCATTTCCCCATCTTTCTGACGCTTGTCAAGAGGACTCTCCTTTCAGGAYCCTGTGAATAACACTGCAGCAATGCTCCCTGTTTTGCAAAGGCTACTTGGGGTGATCCCCTTGTCCACATATACTCTGTATTTCCAGATAGTATATGACTGCCTCTGTTGTAAAATGMAGCAATAAAATATTATTGTTTGGAGAGAAATCTGTCCATAAAACAGACAATTAAAATCCCTCCCTTGAGAAAAATCAGYACTAAACAATGTGAAGTTTCTTATGAGCATATCAATGGAAAGGCTCATCCTGGCTTATACACATCCTCCTCTCCCTCGTAAAAGATCTTGGTTAACACCTCATAAGGAATTCCTAAGCAACTTCACTGTATCCTTTTTGAGTTCCCTATCAGCATGATCAACAGCAAGCTAATAAAATCTTTGCATGACAAGCCTTTATTTTTTTCCCTCGCTCCTATAAAAGACAAAGAGTTCATGCATGCCTCGGCAAAGCTCTTGCTGGGAGAGCAAGCCCAAAGGCTGCCAGCCTGCTGCTGGGGGGAACCCTAGCACAGCTGCTTCCTCCCCACAGCCCCAACATCCCAAGAACAACAACTAAGAAAGATCTGGGGGGATGCTTTCACTTAGCCCTCCAAATGGGTGAGTTGTGCCTGGGGAAAGGTCAGGGCAGTTGTTTGGGTACAGCCACTGCATCAGTGTGGCCAATCACTGCCACCAGACTCTTCAGGACACGTCTTTACATGGCACCACAGCCAAAGGGTGGTGAGCCAGGAGCATATGGAGGACAGGCACTTCATAAAATAAAAAAAAAATCAAGCTTTCACTGTGTTTAAGTTATTTAAATTACTGATGGGACTGAGGAACTGCACAAACCAACATCCAGTAGTAAACAGCGCTTAGAAAATGCAGAGTGGGAAAGGCACTCCTTGCCAGAGGCATTTAAGTAAAGAAAATCTTTCTCCTCTTCCTCACTTCTGATTTTCCTGCTTTGTTTCCRAAAGTGCTTTTTAAGAAACTTCAAGGAATTCAAGCAGACACCCAAAACCAAAAATAAACCATGGGGACTTAATTTTACTACCTTCACTTTATTTGAGCAGGGAAAGCTTGAGAAAATGACAAGATCAGGGATTACACTTCCTTAGGAGGCAAAAAACTAGATCCCAGCTTCTGACAAAGTTTGGGGAGTTACCATGATTTACATCAAGGTCAAACTCTAAATACTCGATTCATGGATACCATTTCCACAAGGCTGAGCAGCATTAGAAACTACCCTCATAACAAAATATATTGTCTTAGTTAACCATGCTTGCAGAATGTTGAGGAATATTTCTGGTGCAGGTGGCTGGGCTCCCAAGCTACAGACTGAGATGCAGATGGAMATGCAGAGCTCTGGGCAGGACCCTGAGCTGAGAGGCCATGAACTGCCAGCCTTTGGGATGACAGAGGGTGTGAAGGTGGGTGACACCAGCCAGGTGAAGGGACACTGGGAAACACAGAGAGAGCCAGGAGCCAGAGACTTGGGAGGAAAAGGAGACTTCTGGGAGACTGTGAGGGTGTAAAAGGCTCAGGAGTTCCCTGGTTGGAACTCCCCTCCTCAGAGGCACCAGCTCAGGCTGTTTCTGTGTCACTGCACCATGAATAAATGCCTTCATGGAACAAGACATTTGGGATTTGCCATCAGAAACCTGGGGCCAAACCAGTGAGGAAACCTGGTCTGAGTGGGGTATGTGGGGAGTCAAGTGGGGACCCATTGGGTCACYGAAGCCTCCTGCTGTGAAGGGGCTTCAGCCCCAGCAGTGAAAGTCCCTGGCATCGGGAGTGAGACCAGCGTCTCTAGAGTAGTCAGACTGGGTAGTTTCCTTAACAAGAAAGGAGAGCTTCTCCACCTAACAGAGTTCACAGATTTTCTTGGAACCGTACCAGRTGACATGGGATCCCAGATTTGCTGTCAGATGGTGAAAAGTTTTACTGAGCAGAGAGATAAGGATCAAAACAAGCAATCTCATCATGTCTTTTATTAGCCAGGCCAGGATTAACAGAGTATAAATCGGATGCTGTTACCTTCGGAAGTATAACACTTCTTTAATGAACCAAATGTTATGCTTTGACGTGATCTACAAAGTCYCATGCAACACTCCTGCTGGGCACTTGCTCTTTAAATGACAGTAACAGTTGAGCACTCTAGCCTGTGAATAATTTAGGAGTCCATGAAATATTAAACAGACTTCTAGATACATGAAAAAGCCTTCTTCTTATTGCAAAAAGGAATCTGGTAATTGTTGTTTAGAGATGTCAGCCTTCTGTGCCTGTATTTTATGCTTAGCAATTCCTGACTGTTAAGATTTATTCTGGAAGCAAAAGAGGTTCATGAGACACCAAGAAAAGACKCCATTCTCATCCATCTGTATAAATAATTTCTACTTATCATCTCTGTTTATAGAGACAAGGACAATGACAGCTGTGGAAAAGATGCACTGCCAGTCAGTCCAGCAGCAGATCTCCCGCTGCCTGAGTCTGCCTGCTRTAATAGATCAGGAGCTTTCAGATCCTAATGCCATTAGTGTTGCCAGAACAACTCCAACTGCAATTTACAGCGAGAAGGAGCAAAAATACTCCTGGAAAGATGGCTGTAATGGGCCGGCCTCCTTATTCTCTTTTCCTAATGTTTTGCCCAACACAGAGWAACATTTCAAAATTTGAACTGATTAGCCTTTGGAGAGTCACTGATTAATTTCAATCTAAGGGAACAGGGCAACTCACAAGAATGAGCAATGGTGGCTCTATAAAATTCATACATGAAGTGATTAGTTTTGAAACATCCTGTTGTGAGRAAAAAAAGCCTCAGATTTATGTGTCTTTCTGTAAAGTTAAGATGTGCTTGGTTTTTTTGTTCGATTTGTGAGAAGCAGGGAAAATGGGCTATGGTGAAGAAAAGCAGGGATATTTCAGTTCCCCTGYTACAGGCTAAAAAAAGATAGTTGTTCTTCCCCAGGCCTACAGAATGATAAATGCTCAGGAAAAGCATTCAAGATTGATGACTTAATCAAAACTGCCTCGCATACAAAATCTGTTGGGGAAGAACAGCAAGGAACTTGGTAACAAATCTGAAGGATGTAACAGAGTATCCTGCTTTGCTGTCTGCTTATTGCTACTATCCATATGGCAATTTAGATGCTCTCATTTCTCCTGCAAATATTGCCCTGTTTTCCACACTCACCAACCTGCCAAATAACTGATGGCAGCAAGACAACCTCACAAGTCCTTCTTTTTGCCTCATTTTGCACATGACTTTCTTACCCAGTTTAAACACTAAATATGAACACAGATTGTAGAGTTTAGGTAAAGAAGGCTGTTGGGAATGCCAGGTCGATGGACTAATTGATCATTTTGGTTATATATTTGGGGTGGTGGTATTGAAAACTTCTTGCTCCTGGCATCATGGAACATATTGTTCTGGCCAGCATTAAGTTAAATTCAAAGCTAAACTCAGCAGTGATTTATCTTTAGAAACTGGACGAAGCTGGTTAGTAGCATTTCTGAGAAAGACACAAATTCTTTTTATCTAGCRACGTGCTGCTTTAGCTCAGAATGGCCTGTTTCCTGGGCTTCAATCCATTTGATTACTCATACTGCATTATTTCCTTTAGCTGGAGGCAAGTTTYGTCAGATGAATACCTGTATTTTTGTCAAGACAATAATATTCAGCAGCTATGCCTGCTGCAGGTAAGCTTCTARCCACTTACAGAATTCAATGCCAGAACGAATAAAGGACGAGGTAAACTGGTCATTTTTATGTGCACATTCTSATGCTCTGAGTTTTCTGTTCTGTAGCTCATCACCTCCAGCCCTGCCATCAGCCAGTCACTGCRAGCCAGGTCTGAGAGTTCAGTGCAAGACTAACTATGCTGCAGTGCTGCATTTGTGTCACACTGCCAGCTCTCCTCCTCCCCTAGGTCCTCCAGATTCATCTTCTGGACAGGACTTCACAGGAACTTGGAAGCTCTTGAAAGAGTTATTATTATTACCACATTACAAAAAATGCAGGTAGATTTCAATCTGTGAATGCTTTTGCCATTGATAAAAACAAGCCTAAAAAGTCCCTTTTCCAAAACATGTTTTTAAATYGTGAACCACAATGGTGCATGCCAAAGGAAAAAAAAAACAACCCAGAGTGCAACTATAAACCAGACTAACTGCAATACCTTTTCTCCTTGGCTGCAAAAACAACACAGAACCTTCTTCCTCCTTTGCAACACYTCTAACAGTGACATACATATATTTCCATCGTCCTTTTAAAAAAATGCTTAGGCTGCACTAATGAGAAATCGATTGTTCTCATTTGCAAGCACATGCAAAGCATTTTTGCAGGCCACCAGGTCCTGGCAACATGGAGCAACTTCAGCATCTGTGAGCACTGCCAGAGCTGCACCATTTCCTTGGAAGCTGATGGAGAAGTGGTGCCTAGAGAAGATTCAAGAGCAAGCAAACAGTGGAGAATAGATTCCYTCCTCCCCTGCTCAGGATATCTGCTTTTCACAACAGGCAGAGTTGAACCTGGTTCTCTTCCATCCTGGCTGGGGTCACATGGTGGGTCCYTTGCACACACCATGCTGTGGAGTGGGGTGGGCAGAAACCTGCAGGAATGTTCCCAGAGTCTGGCTCTAACTGCTCCTCTTTGGGGACTCAAGTGTCCGGAGCATGACCTGCCTAATGGCTAAAAGGATAATATCTGCTGTGTCTGATCCCCGTCTCCTGTCTCCAAGGGCTGAAATCCAATTCACCTCRAACCATCTGGAGCCCATCTCCAAATGAATAATTCCTTCAAGTCTTATTTAATGAATATGCAAATGGCTTCACTCTTCGGTTTGCCGTGACACAAACCCCCTCTGAGGGCCCAGAGCAGGTCAGCAYGTGGGTGTACGTGCCTGTGCTGAGTGTGTGGGGTAGGACAGATCCCTGCTGTCTACAGGGGATCCTCCTTCCTGTCCCTGGAAGAGGAACAGTGACCAGGCTCAACTCCACTTGCTGTGAGCTTCCAGAGTGAAAACCAACCTCTGACAGAGGAGGTGTGTGCCACAGCACCCCAGGGGATGTACAAGGTGCACCTCTGATAAAAATGAGAGGTCAACACCTCCAATTTCCTGCCTGTCTAAGGAAGTAGAGAGGGATTAATTCTCGTCTGTGGCAAAGAAGATGTGAARTGGATGTTGAGGCAGTTTCAACACTATTCACAAAGTAGATCTTCCATCTTTTGGAGTATTACATTTAAAGAAGAAAGAGGAACTCTTTATCTATGAAGGTTTCCAACGCATTGAAAAAGGAGTGGCAGCTACACAAACCAAACTTGCAGCACCAGCACTGGCACTTGCCTCTAACCTGTGGATCACACAATGACTCTGAATGTCATAAAGACATCATCAAAGCCAAACATTCAGACAATCTTTCTCTAAGTTTGTTAAATAAAGAACAGAGGCAATAATGTTGTTACAGGTGTTTGCACAGGTGCAAGATAATCTGCATCACTACATCACYCCCCTTGGCTGCCACTAAACCCTGYAGGRTCTGATGRCTCTGGSATGTAACACCAAGAGATGCTGTGGGGTGAGGAATGCAGCAGGCAAGATACTYAGCACTTCCTTCAGCCTCTGACTTGCAATGTAGCTTTCCTTACATTGTTTTTACCTGGCTGTCTGCTCTTCCATTTGCTCTGCTGGTATAGGTGGGGGGCAGAAAATCAAGCATTTAGGAAACTTATTCCAGGGGCACCTCAAACTTCATCCTCYCATGTACTTCTATGGCTCTCACCCCTGCAACCCCCAGACCTCCATTTGTATTGATACAACCACTTAAAAACATGGTTTGGAAGTTTTTGGGGAGGGTTCTTGCTGTAGTTTGACCTCCACAAGGAGGGCAGGCAAGCCAGGGCCACAKCCTAGAGTACACTGGGGAGGGATGATGCTGCCCCATCCACACAGGACATGGAGTTGTAACTTCAGAAAGTGCCTTTCACCATTTTTTTTAATGGACTTGTTCCTGCAGACTGTACCTACCAGCACTGAGAGAGTACAGCTCTTCTGCRCTGCCTACAGTACAACATGGGCTGGCAGCCTCCCCAAAACAGCTGTGCCTGGGGATTTCCTCACTGGCCTCAGTGCCTGTGAGTTGGAGCAGAGCTGGAGAAGCAGCAGCAGCTCYGCTCTGTGCTCCTCTCACATGGAACAGTTCCTCCTGCCTGCTCATCCATCCCACTCCTATCGGGACTTTCTTCAGTCAAATTTCAGATGTGCCCATGGTCCCCTGCAATGACCTGTTTTTTTTCATTAACTGTTCAGTGATGCTTGCARAGCATAAACCAGTTGGGACATCATGCCTGGGGACAGACATCAGCAATCCAGGGATTCAGAGAAAGCAAAGCTAAAGGATGCTGTCACTACAGTACTTCATAAGAGTAGCCAGTGTCTCTCCCCACTCCTACTACACATCCAAAATGTGCAAGTAAGCAAACACTGTGCAGCCTGAACAGAGTRGCTACAGTTTATGCTATACTGCCTCATCTGTTCTTTGCACCAGCTGTTCCTGGAAGGAGGTRCCACTGTATTGTTTCTCTCTTCCTCTGATGCTCTGGAAGAAAGACAGAGGGCTTTTTTTTTAATCTTGGCTTTTTAGCAAAGGGAACAGGGCTGCATTGTTGTGTATTGGCACTTGCTACCTTCTCATCCCATGCCCTTCTTGCTGTGCAAGCACGGTACAAGATATGGCATGCTGAAATAATATTTAGTTTTGCAGCTGGGCTCATTACTGCTATAATTTAGAAGGTATAACCAGTCATCAGAATTTCAAAACATATTCAATTTTCAATAAAGAGGCAATTTCGACACGGTGATGACCATAAAAGAATGACAGTATACTCAAGAACAAAGAACAAATCTGCCAGTCTGTCAAGAATTTGCTTGATGTGTCATCACAGTTTAATTAAGGGAAAAATTTACTGTAACAGAGAGCAGACCAAGTCAACCCTCCAACAAAGGTGCTTCCTTTCTTTTGTGCATTAAAAATAATCTCCCTTTGTTTTGAATTACTGGTGCACAAGGAGATTCTGACATATCATTCTCCAGAACTAAATAGATGGCTGAAAAGTATGAGAAAAATTCATCTTTTATACAGTGGATAGATTTGACTCTAGATGATTTGTGGATCTTTCAAACACACCTCAGTGTATCAACTGACTATTTCCCACTGATTTTGTGTCCTGCAGTCACTGAGTCAACCACAAGGACTTCTCAGTCTCTGGCAAGTGGCCATGGTGGCCACGCTTCCCTCTCCCATCCCAGGGTCACTGCTGCCCACCARCACTGCCCATCCCAGCCTTGCTCARCACCTCTGAAGGYACCCAGCTGGCCATCAGAGCCTGCCAGGCCACATCTTCCAGCCAAATCCAGTTTTTTCCACTTCTGTGGTTTCAGTGGAAGAACTAAAGGTTTTCTCAGTCTTTGGAGAATATTTTATTCCAAAGCAAATTTTCTATCAGAGTTACAGTGTCTCAACACATCATGGCATGCAAGGCAGCTGCAGGGGCAGCTATGAACCTGTGTAAATAAACTGTTTTCACTGACTGAATGATCTGACCAGTGACTAAAAGTACTACACAAAAATGCATTCTCTTTAAATCCAAATTTTTTTATAGTTCTAGAAATCTACATTCAGTAACACCATGTTTGTGTGGGAGAATGAGAAAGCTAAGATGCTTTATATAATTGAAGTTGTTCTGTCTGGAGTATTTGTTTTGTAAAAGATGAGTGAAGTCAGAAGAAACAATAAATATAAATACAGTGCATTTTTCAAGAACATCGATTTCACGGGGGTGGTTTTCTCCAGCGTAATAATCAAAGAYACCACAACACATATAAATAAAGTGGGGACTGAGAGCTGTAGTTTTAACCTGGCAATGGTCCACAAGGCAAATACACCTAAGAGCATTCATCTCGTCTCAGAGCAGACATGTAAAAGCAATCAGCCTCCATCATGCTGTTGTCTGTTATCAGGTCCACATGCAGGCCCAGAAAGACTATGCAGTACACGTATAGATATACATACCCGACTTGGGTACAGTCTCGATATGGCAGCACTGAAAATATGCTACAGAAGGATCTTCTGCTGCTGATAAGGACTATTCTAAAATATAAAAGAAAATAAAAGAAATCAAAGACTAAAATTTAAAAATCCCACCACAATAAGCAAAGCAACAGACGTTACCATTGAGGAATTTGCAATCATAGCACTTGCGTGATGRATGATTTTTCCGTCCTCTTTCACATCTCACAGGTATTGTGCTATGGAGTCTTTATAGCAGTGCTGAAGCCTGTGCTGCAGCAAACAAGCAGTGAATGAGCAGTGGAGTCCCATTCCCTCTATAGGCTTTCTAGGAAGACTATCCTGAATAAGGGGCTTGGAATCCAGGATAGACAGTTTCCTAACGAAAGGAGTCCATCCAGAGAGGCACAGGACCATTCTGTCAACTCACTGCAATGGCTGAAACTCAACAGACCAATCCAGCAGCAGCCCACGTGACACACACCAACCACTACCACTGACACACACCACACTCCAGCTGCTGGCTGTGAACCTTGTCTGCTAAACCAAAGCATTGACTGTCAGCTTGTTCCTGAAATAGATTTCATCCACCAGCCAGGCCAGGTTTGCTATTATCCCAWGTTTTCAGATCCTTTCACGGTTTCCAAGCTTCCTCCTTGAGCCTTCTCCAGTTTTTCTCCATCACCTTTCTAGGTTCTAATCCTGGCATTATCCCTGACCTCAGCAGCTGCACATTTTCCAGTCTCACCTTCAAGATCAGTGTCTAGCCATGACACCCTCTGCCAGCCTCTGTGCTCAATCATCACGTTTGCCCTCTTGGTTATGATGTTGCATTGACACTCAGGCATAACCAATCCCACAGKTCCCTGCCATTTCTCCTCCAGAGCCACATCTGTCTCAGTCACTGTCAGGTCTGAATCCCTCTTCCTCTAAGCATTGCTTCCCTTTATTCCTCATAGGCAGTTAGCTCAAGATTTGGCTTCATGAAAGCATACATTATCTGCCTGCAGAGAGCTTATCTCAGAAGCCAGGACACTCTTAGAGCAAATGCTTTGTATTTCCAACAAGTCTCCAAATCTCTGCAACATCTGCAAAGTCACTGTGTGATACTGTCTTGGTTTTGGCTCAGATAGAGCTTATTTTATTTAAATCAAATAGGGTGCTTGGAGCAACGTATCTGTCACAGCCACACTTCTGCCTTCAGCCATCGAGCTCTGACATCATCAAGCAACACCAAAACCACCTTGWGGTCAAGACCCACTTTCCATAAAACACAGTGGAATGCCAGTAGCTATATTRTTATAGTTTGGGAAATTTGCAGATTTGCAAGAGGCCCAGAGAAGTCTGATCAAGAAGTTACTTATAAAATGGCAATAAATAACTGATTGCTTCCAAACTGATTGCTTTTTTCTTATTACCTTCAGGACCCTGAGAATTGTACAATTGCACAACTGATCCTTCTTCCCTCTGAAGCTGGCCAACAGGCTGCACCATGTCAAATTCCTCTAAGTGATGGCAATTTGTGCTGTTTTCTGACCTGATCAATATTAGAATTTGCTGATATTTTCTCTTTCTAAAAATCTCCACTTGTGGTGAAAATGTTGGGACCTACCACTGTGTTGCTTGTCAGGGCTATTGCACTTCCTTGCTCTGCTCTCCAACGTTCATCTTTCTGACATTGTGTCCCACAGGTCTGCATGAGAGGATTTCACCTGAATTCTTCATTGTTTGTGCTACRCTGGTCAAAGCTGGACAACAAACCCTAACAAGCTCTTTTGCTTTTTTGCTGTCTGAAAACCAGCACATGCATCTATGAATCTGATACCAGTTATGCTGTTATTAGAACACTGTTTCCTTAAGGGACCAGCTTAGTCATCGTTCTTGGAAAAGGTTTAGCTCCCCAAGAGAGCTGCTGTATGTAATCCTTGGAAAAATGCAGAATGATCGATTTTCCCTCTCCTGGATTACTCTTTTGTAGCAATCCTATTTTCTTCCTTAAAAGCCCATTGAACAGCAAAGACGGATTTATCCTTTAATGAAGAAGAGTTTCTAATAATAAACATGCATACAGCTTTAGGAAATTCTCCTGCAGCAGATGAAGTACAATTTCATTGCTRTCTGAATGCTGTAACACTCCTCACCTAAGGGAAATGTCTCAGATCCTGTAAGATGGTCTCGTGGTGCGGCAGTAAGTTACAGAGCAGGGAGGAATAATTTTTCCCTTTTGAGAACGGCAATCCACAAGCAAAAAAAAAATCCTGGCGTATGATTAATTTTGTGCTTGCCACTGCTTACTGCTGAATGGCTGCTACTCACAACAGCTTGCTTGTTCACTGGAAGCCTTGTTTGCTGATGTATGAAACTTGGCACAAGCTTTGAGGCTGACATCAGAAAGCATCTTTGAATTCGGAAAACCACAGTACCCACTAAGCATATTATCCCCCTCCCTCTGGTTGCTTTTGGAAATACAGCTCTTCCACCAACGCCCTACACCTCCCTAAAAATACCACTCAACTCTTAATACCCAAAAGAAAAACAAACTGGTGCTTCCATGTCCACAAGCAAAGACAACAGTAGGAAGTCACCACAGAACTGTGTGTATCAGATGGAATCAGACAAGAAAGGAAATAAAAAGCACCAGCCCAGCCTCTATTTTTTTTCAGATTTCTTTCCCTTGGGACCCAAGCATTGCCTCTTTTTTCATAAACCGTCAGACCCTTTTTACACAAAGATCTCCCAAGTAGAGCATGAGAGGAGCCCACAGCCTCCACTGCCAAGATGCAACAAAGCCTCATCTGCAGAGCTGCTGAAGGAGGTTGATGCAAAACAGCTTTAGGAACCTGACTGGAAAGGAAGCAGGGAAGACAGTGCCAGTGGTCAGATACTCATCGTSAAGGGACAAAACAGCATTTTATGTAGAGGTCTGCTGACATGCATGAAAGCAGAAGCATTTCTGAAGGCCTGCTGGGGCAAAGAGTCCAGAAACTCGCTTCAAAGTATGCTTTGGAAAAGAAGTTGTGGTGGAGGTCCATTGCTTTGCAAGAAAATTGAGTTATTGCTATTGGACAAAAGGATTTTTCTGGATTTCAGCTCTTCAACTAAGGGTGTTTACGATCCTGCGCTCCTCTGAAGGAGCTATCTCTGACATCAGAAGGCACCTGAGAGCGTGTTTACATGCCCTGACTCCAACTGTGCCACCTAGACATGTTAAAAACCACTTCACGAGAAGGTTTTCACTCTTTAATTCTCACATTTCACTGAAAAGTTGTACTATTACTATGGTTCAGAGCAGCCATTACTTTGCAAGAGTTTTGATGATTAGAAAAGGCTGTAAAAGCTAATCTTCCAATTTCTTTATGAAGCGTATACTACAAAAAACTTAATGAGCACAAAGTTCTCAACAGAATCAATAATTTGTTAGACTTGAAGAACCATGTCTACTTTCCTCAGCATTAGTCTAGGTTTATTTGTGTTGCACCAAATGGCTGCCACGAGGAAACGTGATACACATCGTATGGACCATCCACAAGTGGAATTCTGTAGCCTCTTCTCCCAGTCCTGATTGATGATGTTTGGCTGCCAGGGCTCTGTTGCCCTGCACACAAAGGTGAACACACAAACCACAGAYGCTGTCATGGTAGCAGCCTTCATTTTGGAGTCTCACAAGTTCAAGAGCTATTAGAAGGTGGCTGAGAATAATTAAGAACTGTGAGGGTGCTGCCAATCGTCAMCCTCTTAGTGTGTGTGTGTGTGCAGTTAAGAGAGCAGCAAGAGACCTTTCATGAGTGTTTGGCCTTTATTTAGATGTGTTTGCTAACAAAAAAAACTGAGAAAGCAATGGCATGGGGCTGGGAGAGGAACGCTGTTTTACTGGGTTTTATACCTGCTATATATGATAACTCTACAGTTGCTCTTGCCCCATTTTCACCATGAACTGTTTGCTCAGCTGGCTCAAGTTGTCGTTTCGGCCGCTCCTTTTTTGCTAATCTTCTGCCTCAGTGTTTATGGAGGATATCACCAATAAACCTGCTGAGTTAAGTGGGTAAAACCTCATGCTGGTGGCTATTTGTGCTGGTTTGTATGTCAGGGTTGACTCGTCTTTTAATGGGAAAATTTACTGTGAAAATGTGCTGTTTTACARGATTGCTTTGATAACACAGTCTAGSAACCCTAATTTTCTAACTCCTTTAATAAGCCACAACCTAGAAATCCAAAGAAACCAGTTTAACCAGTGAAGAGAATTATCAACAGGAAGCTTTACAAGGACTCACTGATAAGCTCCAGTCTGTATTTTTTCTGTTTGAGCTTTTTCTCTGTGCTAAATGGCTGAACTCTAATYTGAACCAGAGCTGGTCCTGCCTTGTCACAGGACTGCCAAAGGCTGGGCTCAGAGCATCCTTGCTCAACATGTGCCATCCCTGAGGCTGAGAGGGGAAGAAATCTCAGWGCCACAGGACAAGGACACATCACTTTACAGGTTGAGAGAGGCAAAAAAGGGCAGTTACTGGAGAGGGGAGCCCCGAGCTATCACTCACACTGGAGTTTTCTTTGCTCTGACACAGTCATAAGCCAGTGAAACAATTTCTGAACGTGCTGACCATTTTAAAGCCCAGTCATCAAATTTACCACCCTAAAATATACTCAGTGTACATGTTTTCAAAGCTGGATTCCTCATGTTTAGTGAAAGACTGACATGCTGTGGCAGAAGGGTCAGGGGTTTTGGAGGGAGCTCAGAGAGCCTGACGCAGTGCCTGCATCCTGCAGAGTCATGTATGAGCCACCTGGGACAAGGTCTCAGGCATGGAAAGGAGCCCCAGGAGGGTTTTCTATCCATTACAACCSCAGTGCTCCTCTGAGTCACAGGGAACTGGGGAGGACACCAGCTCCAAAGGTCTTAAGGTACTGAGAAACAGTGTTGATTTTAGTATAAATACATAAAGCAGATCCACCTGTATTTCTAGAGGTCCTTTTCAACTAGAATGCCTATTAACTTCAGTGACTGCATCCAGACCCCAGGGATAAAGAGTCTGCACTCAGATTACTTACTGCTAGACACAGGGGTGACACAAAGTGTTAACTCTGCATTTTATTTTTAGCTACTGTCATTGTGGCTCTAYGACCATAGGATAAAAACTATTTCCAAAATTGTATCTCTTATTGTATATGTGTTCTAGATAAAGAGATCTTGATTATGATTGTGGAAATATTCTGGAAAACTGTGTCTGCTGATAAAGATAAGAAGCCAGCTGAATAGGAGCAGCTTTCTCAGCAAGAAAAACATTCAGTTATACTGTCAGGCAMAATGACTGATCTATGAATTAAGATAAAATGTTGCATCCATACTACAAACACTTTTTTGCAAAATGTGGAGAAAAGAGTTTATGAATCAAATACTGATCCGTCCTTTTGCAGGTTGTATTTCTATCAAGTTTATTCCTAGATTTTATATACACATCTCAGAAATTACTTGTTTTCTGTGGAATTTGCATAACACCTTGTAAGTATATTTTGCTGTAAGAAATTCTCAGAACATACATCTACTTATGCACAAAATAGACTGAGATTAAAGGGCCGCTTTTCAGTGTTTGATTCCACATTTACTTGTTATAAAGACAATAATCAGCAGCCAGTCAGACAATAGTCAAGTCAATAGTTCTGTCTGTTTGACACAAAAGTTGGGTCTAAAAGCTGTTTCTAAAATCTCACAAGGCCACCTTCTGCACCATTTATGTTGATTACTACCTTTCAATGCATTCAAGTGTATGTGTGAGAATAACAGCGAAGAAATTTTTTCTTGAGCCAAATAACACCTACCTGAATTCAATTCACAAAACCTGTGGTTCAATGCAATGTTAGAATTTCTACTGACATGGTTCCTCCTTTGAYGGAAATCAAAGGCTACGGGCACAAATCAGTCCATCAGAGCATACATGGCTCTCAGCCATGGCAGTTTTATGAGAACAGGCAYGTGCAAGGGTCAGCTCTCAGTGGGATCGTTTAGTCTACATGTAACCTATTCAGGTGGCCTAGTTCAAACCTGTTCAGGTTTGGAAGAACAAGAAAAAAAAATTAYGACGCACACAGAGAAACTGTCTTTGGGAAAATCAGAGAGGACAGGTATCTTCTTTGTAAGCAGGGAGGAGCTAGTTTCACTTCTGAACTGGATGATCCTACAATAGAGAACCCATYTGGCTGATGGAAACACCTGCAGCTGATGGGAACACCATGCCTTTGCACTAAGCCAAGTCCCAGCCAGTGGCTGCTGTACAAGTCCCACCAGTGCCTAGGACTGTGACTTGGGCAGTCTTACAGCCCACAGGCTGGGTACAGCAGCTGCTACTGGCAGCTCAGGGCATGCTGCAGCCACGGGTGCACCCCTCACACATCCCCTGGAAGCCTCTCTGCCTACATCTGCCATGAAAACTAGGATCCCATGCCTCATCTCGCCACCACCATCCTTGGCTGTGCATTTAGCAGCACGCTGTATCCACTAACAGATGTGGGAAGTGTCCTTGAACCGTTGCTAAACTTGGTTCAGGCAGGTTCCGCTATGTGCCACTCTCACACTTAGAACCTGGCAACACTCTCAAAGAAATGCAACCAGATTATGCCTGGTTTACTCACACAGCATCATGGATTTTCCTTTTATGCAGGTTATTTGTATTGAGATTTGTGGTGAGTGGCAATGGCTCTTGCAGGGGGATGGAGATCCTGCCCCTTCCCTCAATCCCAGGGGCTGCCTCTGCAGAAGCAGCCTTTGCATGCACAGTACCTGCCGTTTCTAGTGTCGTGCTGCCGCATGTTCTTGATAAAATGAACCTTCTTAAAGTTCTTTGGTCTGGGTGATCCTGAGAGTGTCCGACATCTGAAAAATAAATCAGTTGCAAGGGAGGGGAGGGAGAAGAAAAAAATAAATGTTCTCAGTTCCCTGCTGTACCGCCAAGAAGTCTACACAAAAGCAGGAAGGAAAGACGAGACAAATGATTCAAGTCACCCTGTGTTAGGAATCAGCAAGAACAATAAAGACAATAAGTTTGGAAATGCGACGGCTCAAACAAAAAAAATATTTAAAATAATAATAAGAAAAGGCAGCAGCCCCCTCCCTTCATGCAATAAAAAAAATCATTAAAAAAACTCAGCAAAGTAAAACTTCCTGTAATCTGCCATAGCAGCTCAGCCTCAGCTTTCAGAGGAAAAAAAAATTAAACCAAACCAAAACCGAGTAAATAYGCAATTTTCCCCACTCGCACCAACACCCACGCTTTTGCATGCTTCTCAGCTATTGATAAAGGAGCCATTGAGGAAAGCTGTTTCTTGTTTTAATTTTAGAAAGATTTAAAATCTCCTATTTGCAAGGATAATTCCTATTTGATTTTAACTCTAAATATTACTTTTCAYGTTCCTGACAGTATACGCAACAGCTCAAAATAAAATAAACTACCCCAGGAAAAAAAATAATCATTCTTCAAAACATTAAGCCTTAAATCTATTTTACATCTGAATGCACTTTATAAATTGCAGTTACAGAAAGAAATTGCCAGAGGGAGGAGAGATGAGACAAACAGCAATATCCTCCCCCCGCCTTCCACCCGTGCTCTTTCTAATCAGCTGAACCACAGCGCATGTGAAAGCGCTCTCTGTTTTATCTCAGGGCTGTGGAGCTCAAGGCGAGACACAGCTCACAGGCACTGGGGATGAGTCCTGTGCTCATGGCACAGCCAGGGCCACTGCACCCTCTGTGTCACCTACGGGACCAGCATCCTCTGCYGGTGCATGGCACCAGCACAGTCACTCTGTGCTGAGCTTCCCAAACCCATTTTGTCCATCCTCCCCTCTGCACAGGCAGAGTTCAGCAGCTTCTCAAGCCTGAGAGGTTGTTATGTTGGACTGAAAGCACAGACCACTGTGCTAGCCGCCACTGCTGTACCCAAACCCCATTGAGCTGCATGGGTACACCCCGAGAGGGGCACCCCCTCACTTTGCCATTCCTGCCTTTCTCCTGCTAGTAATGTCCTTGAGATTCCCTCACCCTCTGATTGCAATTAGCCTTGTTAGCTTCTTCACAGGAAAATACCACCAAGGGAGACATTCTACCACCAATTCTGTGAATCAGCAAGTAAAAATACTGCCTGGCAAACCATACTTTGTTTATATCTTTTACCAATTATACATGTTTGAATCACTTATGGGAATACTCTATAACAAGCTGGTAAGCATGAACAGTAAGCTTTGTAAAAATAATCAAGCCTTGGTAATAAGCCAATTGGTACAGGCTCTGCCATTCTTTGCTTCGAGGTAGGGAGAGAAAGCCAACCTGCATRTGGATAAACAAGGCTGAACAACAATATAAACCTGCTGAATTACAGGTCCTGAGATAAAGAGACAGTCAAACTTAGGCTGCTGTCTTGCTGAACAGCTGACCTGGAAGCATTTCATGCAATGGTCAGATTACTGACCAGCCAGTTCCTGAACTGTTAAGCAGCTGCTCCATTTTCCCTCACCCCAGAGGACTGCCTGGGGACTAATTACTGTGGTCCCCAGTGAAAGAAACTGTGGTCTCCCAGATGCAGAAATTAAACCACGCACAGAAGCTGCCAACATAACACGGATGGAGGCAGATTTAATAGTGGGGTAGGAGTCACAAATCTACCAGCCAACACACAGACCGTAATGCTGGTAACTGAAATAAGATTGCATGTGCTGAGAGAATAAGCAGTAAAAAATAATTAAAAATACTAGCCTTCAAAAACCTACTGTACTAACCCATCTGTATGTACTTTTAAAAAATGTACCACAGACAGTAGGGGCTAGTCATTCATATTGGTGACAACTGCACTTTTCTATCAATCARATCTGACATTTTAATTCCTGACATTTCATTTAAATACTGCCTTTTTGTTTAATAACCTAAGCCAGAGAATGAGCAGCTCATAGCACCCATCACTTCACAGGGCATTTGAAGTTTCAACACCTTAACTCACTATGAAAAAGAACTTTAATGTGAAGCCCCAGACACTTTTCAACATGAGGAGAGAGAGCAAGCCTGCCCATGCACGTGCTTTACTGACAAGAAGCCAGAGAGAGAGTAAATAAAATGACCTCCTCAGTGGGGCATTTTCCTCGATGTCCTCCAGAGTCTCCAGAGAAGATCGCTGGGAGATGAGCCGACGTCTGCAGAAAAACAGAACACAAAACATCACTGCTGAATTGAGGGCATGAGAAAATCCTCAGAGCTGTTATTCAGTAAAAATCACCAGCCACCCTTCACTAGCCAAGAAATACCTTTGGATATTAATACATTTTTTTCTGTTCTGCTTATCTTAATCTATTTGACTCCACACAGAAGTAAATTTACTCCACACAAGCTGCTACAGCAAAGCAGAAGATGCAGCTTTGCAACAGCTCCTCCTCAGTTTGTGTTTCCCTTCCTTCAAGGGTTTAACACCCATCTAACACAGTCCCACATGTGCTGCAGTACAGCTGGCAATGCTACAAGTACAGCACTTTGATAAAATAATGCAGACACAGATCCRCACAGACTGCCTGTCTTTCACACTGCCACAGGGGACACTTCTCTTTGCCCCCTGTGCTTTGTACAAGTGCCACTTGTTTCTCCATGATGTCCATCTCATCAGTCCTGTGAAGAATGTCTGAAGTGAGATRAAAGATGATGGTGCCAGCAACACTGGGCATAAAGCAGCAGTTTAAACAGAAGCTTGGACCATCCCTGTGAACAGCACAGGTAAGCTAAGTCCTGTTTTAAACCATTTTCCTATGTCTGAGTCACATTCTTYCTCCACCTTCGGAGAAATAATTATGGAAATCTCAGCATTACAGGTTTTCTAGCTGTGCTTGCAGACAGGGAAGAAGCCCCAGCACAAGCTTTGTCTTCGCAGCCATTGCTGCTGCACAACTTCCAAACACCCTGACAGCAGCACAAAATAAGGACTGCACCCAGCCCTCCAAAAAACACTGTAAACACCACAAACGAATGAGTAAGATACAGCCCACCCACAGGCACATAAAGAAAATGGAGCTGGCAATCAYTGAAACTACTCCGTCGTCAATGGGCGTCAAAACAGCTGCAAGAGKCAGCAGAGCCGTGGCACTGTGCCCCAGCACCCAGCTGGCAGGAGCAATGCCAGCACCCATCCATCCCAGGGGCCATGGCTGACGCACGGAGCACCTCAACAGTGACTTCATGAGCATCAACTGAAATGATAAAAGCCTTCATAGACTATCACTATTTCAGCCTGGTTCCCACTGAGCTGCCTTACTCCCTTGATCTGCAAAGGTTTTTCAGAATGTTATGAGCACTCCTATATGCTTGGAAAGGTGCTTATTAATTTATTCCTGRGCTGTATTTTCACAATAAATTGTTTTCTCTGATGCCAGTGTAAGCAGTTTCTAATCCCTCCTGCAATTCCCTTGTCTCTCCAGTTGTGCTGCTACAACTGTTCCTGCAGCCGTGCTGCAAATCTGATTACCGAAATATTTTTTGGTTCAAAATAACCCTGAGGTTCAGKGATTCAGTTTACTATTAATTCAAGATAGATTTCTATCACTAACCTGCAGACAAAGCATTTCATGACAATTTGAATGTGCATGCAGCTTTTTGTGTATTTAGAAAATCATAAAAAACCCCTCAAACAATTTACAGATCAACTAAGTGTGAAGCATAATCCTCTTAGGAAAAATATGCAAACCTAAATCCCCTCAGGCTTTGTCTAAACTAGGATTTCAGAGGATCTGGTGCAAGATAGGATACACCTTCAAAATGCTAAGGAAAAAAAGTGCATTTCAGTGTGTGTTGGCATAGATAAGGAAGACCAAACATTTGTCTCCTGCACCCATGGGTGTTTCCTTGGCTCCATCCACAGTCCAAGAGGACACAGAGATTCTCTCATTGGGAGAAACCCAGCTCAGGAGGAGTTCCTCCTCCATTTTCAGTTTCACTGATCCATAAGCAAAAGCTGGAAGTTTCAATTCCCAGCATCACTGATGTGGCAGATGATAGCTGTTGGCTTTTTAATATCTCTTCATACATCATTAACTTAATAACACAAATAATGGCACGCTCCCATCCTGTAGTGCTAAAACACCAAAAACATACTTGGCATGTTGTTAGTCAAAGAGAGATGAACAACAGTATAGCTTTGCCACCTTCCTCAGATGAAATTTAGCAAATTAGTCACACTGTATATCCTCTAGATGCCAGGTGCTTGTACAGCACCAGGTGCATATTCCAGCTGCCACTGAAACCTCTTTCCAAGAGTCTCCTTGCCCAAAGTTAAGCACCATCCTCAACATCATTGAGGGTTTGGCAGACACAGGTTTGAAGATCCTACATTTGCATCTGTCATTAAGGTAGATGCGCTGGTTGGCAGGAACAGAACTGCATTTCACCAGCTGGGCATCCAAYTGGACTCCTCTGGCTTCCCTCCCCTGGCATCCCTTCCCAGGGATGCTGCCTCCTGATTTTTGCTTGCTGACCCCAAATGCAACATAGGCTGGATGGTACTCGCTGCCACCCCTCTCAGCATGAAAGACCTCACTGCTTTTCACCAGCACTGATTTCACAGCATTTTGGGTACCTTCCATGGCAACTGAGTCGGCACAGAAGAGTTGGGGAAGCTCTTTGTTCACCCAAACTTGGGAGAGGAGCACCTGAGCTCCGTCTCAATGAGGGCATAAAATAAGCACGATTCTGGATAAACTCATCCAGGAAGGAAGGAAGAAAACACATAAAAGGTACTGGCACAGGTAGCAGTAAGAGTAAGGATATCCAGCCCAGCCCCCAGCCCATCTGAAAATTGCCACATCTTTCACCTTTCCCCAGAATTATTAGTTTTAATCACTTCAACTCCCAGCACTGTCAAAGGAGCACTGGAGAGGCAGATTTGGAGCAACTGTTAAAATCAGCTCATACTGTCCAGGAATCACACCCTCTTTTCACTGAAGAAACTCAGCTGAAATATGAAGGATGTGCAATTATTCCACTTTATCTTAAATCTTTATTTCAACACCTAATTAAGATGACCTAAATACCAGTATTTTGTAAGATTTACACAGCTGGAAATTATACCAGAAATGCCGACTAATGAACCTACCTGCTGTGAACAAAGTCACATCCTGTGCCACACACACAGGACAAAAAACAAYTTTGAAAAAGAAAAGCTTTTGAAAGCATCTTCCAGGGAATACAAACAAAATCAGTTTTTCATTGACCTCATCAAGAATTAATCACCTCAACTGGTGTTTAGTATTTAAATTAATCACCTTTCTCTCTTCAGGCAAGCAGCCAGGGTTTGTCTATACAACTCCTAAAAGAATTATTTTTCAAAAATTGATTAGCATGCTATAGCRGCTGGTATATGCAGACACTGAAATAACCCAAACTGGTTTATATCACACATTACCATCATTCTGATGTAAAGCTGTGTTGATACCTATTCTGTATTTAAAAATGCCCTATTTCAATAGTAATTATGGGAAAATCCTTCTATTGTTGAGGAAGAATATATGCAGAACAAAACAAAATAGCACTATGTGACACACATGATTCAGGCATTGGGATAAGTCTTTCAGCAGATGCAATTTCAATTTAAAATGCTTTAAAACTTTTGTAAAGTACATGTCAGTCAGCTAACACACAAAAATACAATTGCCCTTAATAACCAAATTAAAGATGATTCAATAAAAATGTTAATTTCTGCTAGTCTATGGAAAGCCTTAAAAAATTTCTCCTCATTTAATCACCACATTCTAGGTGTACTAAACTCACCCTCAGTCCCCAAAGTCCCCAAATGCACACAGAAAAAGGCAGTTCAGCATTGGATGATGACCTCCTCCTTGGAATAACCAGCCCCTCTAGGTCACAGCCTCATGCAACTTACAGATTTGTTTGTTTAAAAACCATGTAATATCACTTTTCCTTAAACAACTACCTAAAATATTTTTTTGTCTGTTTCCTTGCTGTTTTTCCCTGTGCATGTGCCCACAAATAATAATATCCTACAATCAACTTCCAAGTGCAGACCAAAGAAAGAAACAAAAGAGATATTCGATGCCATGGTATTTTAAATGGCTGATTTCTAAGATACTCATGACCCTGTTCACATACTGGATTTATCTCTGACCAGCTGCCTGAATCCCTGTGGAAATTTCTCAAAGGCTAAAATGTTGTCTTCATTTTCCCCCTCCAAAGTCAGATTAATACATAGTTCAGTTGCAAAAAAAAAAGAAACTATATACAAGAAAAAATAAAATAAGGTACGTCTGTAATCAAAACAGCAAATAGCCAAAGCAAGTAGACTGCAAATATGTTCGCAGTAATCACCCCACCAATCAGTGAAAAATTATCTTTGCTCTCAGTTGCTGCAAAATACTCAGCTCAGTTATGTTAAACATACAAAATCTTAAGCCACATAGACAGGAGGTGATAAAAAAAATARGAGCTGCAATCAGAACACTGGATAAATTCATCCAGGAAGCAAGGAAGGAAGGAAGCCAATGATAATCCAAGAGAGAAGGAAAAATAAATCCATGTGTAATGAMTTTCTAGCACAGCTACACAATCAGGAAGAAAAAGCTGCATTTTAAATACAACTAATTTCTGTGAACATTGGGGGTGTAATTTTCCCCCTGCTTCTCTTAAGATTACAAACCTGTAACAGCTGAAGCCAGCAGCGTGGGTGCTGCTGGCTCCCAGAACAAAAAACACCCTTTCAGGACAAGCTTCTTCACTTTGTCAGGAACAACAGCATCCCTTCAGAGCTACAGAGACATGGGACACATGAGTGCCAMTCATCTGAACACCTGCCAGCTGCGTTAACACTGATGGGAGAACTTGGGGGATCAAAGACTTTTCAGGAGCTGAATACAGATGGCAGTTCCCATGTCCACTGGGCCACCTCCTCCCTTCAGGTGGCCAGGCAAAATGGGCACGAACCACAGCACAGAGACATCTGAGCTATCCCCTGATCACGGCTGTGTTTATCATAATGTGGCTTGGAAGCATCAGAGAAGCGTAAGATTGCTTCACACTTTGAAAATGTTGGATTCTTTATTTCCACTCCACCTTCATTGCAAAATGTTCCTACACACAGGAACACTATCCTAGATAAGTGCAGAAGGGGAGTGGAAAAAGTGTAATCATAAAACTTTGCAGT